TCACACTTGGTCTCAATTTTCAATCTCAACGTCTGGGGAGGGGTTTGAGTGGTAAGGGTTTGGATGAGGCACTTCGGAAAACAAAATGCAAACCGATTAGGAGAGAAGAAAAGGGCTATTCCACAGTGCTAAGGGTTCTGCTCCCTCTAGAAACCATAAATCTGTTGCAGGGTTTGGAGACTTTCCCCAGCAACAGCCAAGGAGAAGCAAGAGGTAAGGACTAGTATTACTACAAGAATTGTGAACGTAAAGCCCTCGTTGGATACTTCAGGCACTGAACAAAATGTAAAAGTCTAGGGGATAAGAAATAAATGAGTAAATGATAGGAATGCCCAGGGCAGCTGACTTAATTTGGGGCACCTTCAGCAGGCAGATACAAGATGGTGTTTCTGGGAAGAGCAAGTGTTGAGGATGGATCTGGATGAAGAAAGATGACAAGTGGCCCCGTGGCAAGTACACTCTGAAAGGCTAGTCTAACAATAGACACAGGAGGCCTGAGTAGAACATAAACAGGGACTAAAAACCAAAAAGACCACAGAGAAAAACAAAAGCCGCTTATAGCTACAACTCATGAGAACGGACCCAGATATTATAAAATGCTGAAATATGACATCTTGGGAAACAGGAACATCTGACTTGCAAAGACAGATCCCTTAACTCCTAATGGGACAAAATAGTGCCACATGGGCTTCATATAGTCAGGGGCTATGAGGCTATTTACAAAGCCTGTGGAAGCTTCTGCAGTCCATAATAAAAAGACTATTTCAAATTTCAAAGACTAAAATTGTGTTGTCAATTTTAATAGCTACCATTAGTATGCCATGCAATACATATTACATTCTCTATCTCACTTAACTCTCACAACTTCCATGTAAAGAAGGAATTTTCATTCCCATTTTATAGATGAAGACAGAGGCTTTAGAAGGGTTAAGAAACTTGTCCTAAGTCATAGTACTAAATAAGGGGCGGAACCACAAATCAAACAATCAAAATGTGTCTAATCCTAAAGACCATGCTTTTAACCCCTGTTCTTTCTTGGTCTCTAACACTATTTTTTTCTTATGAAAACACAGGAGTGATGACTAGTTGAATGTATTCTTATGAGACTCACAGTCATTCTATGATGTATGTAGCAGATATCTTGAGAAAAACTTTGTATATGAAATTATTAACAGTTGACCCTTGAAAAACATGGGTTTGAAGTGCACAGGTCCAATTACATGTCAGTTTTTTTCAATAAATATACTGGAAAATTTTTTGGAGAACTGCAAAAATTTGAAAAACTTTGCAGACAAACCATGTAGCCTAGAAATATTGAAAAAATTAACATGAAGTTAGGTAATGTCATGAATGCATAAAATACTTGTAGATACTAGTCTATTTTATTATTTACTACTATGAAATATACAGAAATCTATTACAAAAAGTTAAAATTTATCAAAACTTAGACTATACATGTAAGCAAATATAAAGATGCAGTATTAAGTTATAACTGCATAAAATTAACTGTTGTTCATACAATACTACTGTAATAATTTTGTAGCCACCTCCTGTTGCTATTTCAGTGAGATCAAATGTTGTAAGTATTCACTTAAAATGTCATGTGATGCTAATTCATCTCTCCAGTAAATTGCACATTAAAAGTTAAAAGTGATCTCTTTCTATTCTCATGTATTTTTTATTATATTTAATGCAATATCATAAATCTTGAAATAACACCATGGGACCCATACAAAGTGCCACTAGTGATGCTGGAAGTGCTCCCAAGAAGCAGATAAAAGTCATGATGTTACAAGAAAAAGCTGAGTTGCTTGATATGTACCATAGATTGAGGTCTGTAGTCATTTCAGACAGAGATTCATCTTGTAAACAGACAACATAAACACAGTATAGTACTATTAAAGTATTTTCTCTTATGATTTTCTTAACATTTTTTTCTCTAGCTTTATTGTAAGAATACAGTATATAATACATATACAAAATATGTGTTCATGGACTGTTTATGTTATCGGTAAGGCTTCCAGTCAACAGTAGGCTATGAGAAGTTAAGTTTTGGGGAGTTAAAAATTATAGCTGGATTTTTGACTGTGTGTGGGGGATCAGTGTCCCTAACCCCCACATTGCTCCACGGTCAACTATATTCTAACATGTATTATGTCTTTCCAGTTGTTGTGTCCTACAGTGGGACCAAGCAAGCATTGAATGATGGGGATCCTTGGGCCCAAGAGAATTCTGTGCTGAAACACTGATATAATTTGTGGACAGACCAATGTCAGTGATCTCGAGGAATGAAGAATGAGAGGTTTTAGAACACCAGGGGGAAAGCAGAAGAAGGCAGTCTACAAAGCACAAAGCTATGAGCTTATGCAGGATGCAGAGCAAGGCCCAGCCTTATTGTTACTGAAGTGATGGTTAGTGTGCCCTGGACAGGAACAGCACTGATCACACACCCAGCACACACTAAGAACAGTCGTTTCAGACCAACCTCACCACCTTCTTTGACTGGGCTCACAGAACCACCACTCTCCAACAGGAAGCAGTTGGAACTGAGTGGTGGCCAGCCCCTCTGGAAGAAGCTGTCTCCTCTTCCAAACCATTTACAGCCTCTGGATTAGCTAATAGACTGAATGACAGAATCTGGACTTTACAGTTAAGTAGAACAGGGATAAAAATAAGATCTTGCACCTGGTTTGAAAAACCCAACTGAGTAAATCCAAGATAGGGAAGGATATAGTTTAGGAGCAACAAATATAAAAATGTTTTCAAGCTGATAACAAGTTCAATGAGAGAGATAATAGCGTGATATACCTGGCAGAATAGAGAAAAGCAACCTTAGCTGCATTAAAAGGACATGGTGTCTGTGCTAGACTAAGGGAGGTGACAGTCCTGTTCTAATCTGGGCTGGCTACCTTGCACTACCGCTACACTACATTGATTTCTGTGTAGCTCACTTGGAGGGGGTCTGCTAGATTTTCTCCATTTCCCCCTAGTCCCTGCTGTGGTCTATTCTCTGGATTGCTCTGTGCCCTAGGGAACTGGCCACTACATAATGTGTCACTGAGATCCCCTTACCCCAGTGGCTTCCCGCTGGGTTCAGCCACTGGGAAACACCAGCGGGAGATTCAATGGCAAGAAGAGAGAGAACATGCAGAATGTATGTTTCTTGTGCCACCCTCTCCCTGCTCCATCTGCGGATTTCCGACAGTGGCAGCATCCATCTATGGCTACAGTTCCTGTTGGGCAGCCCTCTTCCATGGCTCCAGCTTCGAATGGGTTCCAGTCTGCTTCCCTTCTCCCTTCCCCCTGCTGCTAGCCCCTGGGTACCCCAGCATCCTTTCTTGGTTCCCTTCACCCTGCCCACAGTTCTGGAAATAGTCCCTTCACTAAATTATTGTCAAAATCCCAACTAAGTTGGCTTTCTGTTTCCTGCAGGGACCCTAAGTGAAACTGAAGAGACAGGATGCCAGAAGGCCTTAAAATCGTGTCTATGAGGACCAGCTGTAGGAACGGAGGATATTTATTCAGCCTGGTGCAGGGAAGATTCCAGAAAGCAAGCTAGTCCATTTGAAAAAGGTGAAAGGCCACCATCATACTCATTTCCTGGTTCCACAAATAGTAGTAGGTACAGAGAGACCAACTTTTGGCTAACTATAAAGTTAACTTTTCTACAGAGTTGGTAACGGTGAGGTGAATACTCCTGGTAAGTCACAAGCTTCAGTAATTCTCCGTTGCCCAGTTTAAACTGGATGAACCTCTGTCAAGAATACTGTAGAAAAAAGTTAGAAAGACAGTCTAGAAAAGGGCTTTCTAAGAAGCCAGGATTTCATGATTTGCTATCAACTATACACTACCCAATGGGGTACTAAGATAACCAAACTAGGGGGAAGCTTTGGGAGTACGTTTTGCTGCTCCTCCTTTCAATCTAGAGAAGTCTGGTTCTTTGTGTCAAGTTTGATAATTCCCAGCACTGAAGTTGTTTTTATGCTTTAAGATAACTCAAGAACACGAAACTTCTTTTACATTTCAGCATCACAGCTTTCAAAAGATTATTTCCAATGTACTGAGCAGTCTATTTAAAAAAAATTTTTAACCCAGCAACTTTTCTCTGCACACAGATCACTAACTGTGCTTCTTGAGAACTGGCCCCTCATTTTTCAAACCTAAAACCAGGATGCAAAATCTGCCCAAGGGACACAATATTTTACATGCAAACCATCCTCGAAAAAAATAAGGTCGCCTCAATTCACCCTGGTGGGAAAAAGAAAACGGTTTTTGCAAAAGCCCTGAACACGTAGGTCCACAGCAGGGTCATGGCCCGTGACGCTAAGCTTGTGTGTCTACCCCAGGCTTTCTCCATGCGTGGGAGTTTATCATTTATTATACAGCAGGAACGCTAGGACAGCCACTTTTTTCACTCATTCATTCAACAAACATTTGATGTTGGTCTACTCCATGAACAGAGCGCTATTGGGCGCTGGGGCTGGACAAAAGATCCAGAGGCCAACGCTGCAGCTAGGCCTTCAGCAGGTCTAGGACACGACCTGATTTCAAAGACCAATGAAGGCAAAGCGCGAGAGTGACGGCGCCCAGAAAAGTTTCCGCAGAAACTTGGGAAATGCCAGCCTCCGGGAGCGGCGAGGGCGGGGGCACGGGCCCAGGGCAGGACGCCGCCTGCGGGCTGGGGCTGGGCCTGGACTCCGGTCCGGCCGCCTCCGGATGCCACGCGGCGCCCGCCCACGGCCCAGCCAGGACGTCGGCCTGGTCCCAGGCCCAGGAAGCCGGCGCCCGGGCGGGGCCGCCTCGATGGCCCGCGGGCGCAGGGCCGCAGTGCGGCGCGGGAGTCGCTCCAGCCCGACGTGCCCGGGAGGCGCGCGCACGCATCGCCGCAGGTCCCACCGCGCCGGACACCCGCGGCGCGCTTCCGCCCGGCCCCTCGGCCCGGCCCCTCCAGCCTCCCGGGCCCCCGACCCCCGCTGCTCGCCCGGCCCGGCTGTACTCACCCTCCTTGGCTTTCTTCCTCCGGGCCAGAGTTCCTCCGAGTTTCCCCAAGAAGGAGTCATCTTTCTTGCGGGAAGGGGGCGACTTGGGAGTGGGGGACTTGGGGGCTGAGGGCGACTTCTGCGGGGAGGTGGCCATGGCAGCGGCGCGGGCAGCCGCGGGCCGGTCGGGACGCGGAGCAGGCGCTGGGCGGACGCGGCGGGCGGCGGCGGGACTGAGGCTGCGGCTTTCCAAACGGAAGCGGAATTATTCCAAGCATTTGAGGCAGCTCACGCTCGCCTTTCCCTTCCCTCGCTCCCTCCCTCGCGCCGCCCTCCGCCCTGGAAGGCGCTGCGCTCTCGGGGCCGCGCCCCGGCCTGCGCCCCTGGGCTGCCCGGAGCAAGAAAGATGCCCCAAATCGGGCCCTTGCAGGACATGCGACTGTGTGTGTGTGCGTGTGTGTGTGTGTAACCCTCCAGGCTGGGTGCGCTCGATCCTGAGAGCTTCATTTCCCCGGGCTCTGCACCCAGCATACAGCCTGGCACAAACGAGGATCTGAACAGAGCAACCCTGCTATTCTATCTCCCGGTGCCTTCCAGCCGGCTTCCTGGGGTGGAGCTCGCTTGTCCCCTGCATTGCTGCCTGTGCAGTTACTAGGCCCGTGTCTTGTGCCGGTGAGAGTGAGCCAGTTCCTGGAAGAAATCATTGGAGTGAACTGCAGTGTGTTCAGATGCCACCAAACTGGGCACAACCAACCACTCTTGTGCTTATCCGTGGCTGTCAGCCTCTTTTCCACCCCCATCCCAGACTGGGAAGTTTGAGGTTCACCAGGGTAGGGCCGAGGCTGCTGCCTCTTGGAGGATATCCGTGTTTCTCGAAGCTCAATGGCTTATGCAAAGGAAGACCCCAAATGTTGTGGAAACGTGAATGGGGAAAGCACAACCGTGCTCTCCTGTGACACGCCCCTCCCCCAAGTTTATGCTGCCTAAATAAAAGCAACGGAGTGACTGCCAGACTCATTTGGGATAACAGGAGTCACACAAAACACAGTATCTGAAGGATGCATACTGGAAACAATTAAAAGGCACATTTTATCGCGCTTTCCCACCTCAAGTTCTCAGTTGGGCTCTTGTGTATCTCTCTCACTCACACACACACACCGCGCCTTGGCAACTGTCTTGCCTCCTTCTGGCCCCTTCCCTCTAGCTACAACTGACTGCAGAGCAGCCAATCCCAAGAGCCTTAACCAAGAATCTGAGCTAAGCGGGAGAGACTGTTGTCAGAAGTTGAGCACTTGGCTGATGGTCGTGCAGAGTCAAGACTGGGGCGTCCCTTTTTAGCTACGTGCATGCGGATGTATAGAGAAACAAAAGAATGGAGCAAAGAAGTGTGCTCCAGAAGCCATGTGCTCTGAGTAATGGAAAACCGTGGGAGGAGCTGTCTGGACCTTGCATCTTTTCCCAGCCCCCACGTGCAGTTCCCCCAGGACCAGCTGTGCATCCTTCCCAGGAGACATTACTAAAGTCTTTTATTAATTCATTCACCTCACCTTTGCTGGGACTAATCAGCAAACAGGCAACAATTTCTGAGCAGAAACGAAATTTAACAAACAAGATAGTAGATTCTCAACATAGTATAGATTCATTTCATCTTGGCTTGAAAGTGATAATTTTACTTTTTTTGAAAATTATACTTTTTAGGTGGTGCCTCTTACCTAACAGAAAGCAGGGAAGTCCTGATGTCGGCTAGCCTGGGAAAATTACTACACCCCTCCACCACCACCACTGTAAATCTTAAAGAGATGGTGAGAAACCAAAATAAAATTGTGTTTTGTTATCACACATCATTAATCATTTTTGTTCAGGATGTCAGATACATAAAGACATCTCCAAAATCTGACCTCCAGCCCTGGAGGCTCTTGTCAGGGGATTAAGAGATATGCCACTCAATAGCTGTGTGATCTCAGATTCCATTTCTGAGTCTCCATTTCCTGCCTACTAATGAAGTGGTTAGAACAGGTACAGGTTCTCAAACATGATTGCGCATCATAATCCCCTAGGAGTTTGTTACAAACATTCACACGCCCCATCTCCAGAAATTCTGATTCAGTAGATCTGAGGTGAACCCAAAGGATAGGGACAGATTGCATTGGATGATTTTGATGTGGCTGATCAACATGCTGATGTTCGAGCATTTGGGGCTGCTTCCAACTCTAACATTCTATGGTTCTCTATTCTTTCACAAATTGCTAATATCTGTATACAGGGCTTAGGTCATAAATATGGCATGATCAAAATTATCCATGGAGATTCCTTAAGTTGCCCGTGCATGCATGCGGATATATAACCCTCTTTGATAAGTTTTATGCTCACTAAACTTAGCCACTGGGCAAGACCGATAGGAAGAGCAAAATCTTGATTGTTGAATGCTGGCTCCTAGAAAATGCCAGCGAAATAAGCTGTAGAGAAGGCAAAACTGAACTTATTGTACACCAAAATAAGGAGAGTCCTGCCTTGGCAGAGTCTGAGTAGCATCTTAGAATGAGGGGCAGGCAAAGTGGGGATATTTATAAGGTTTTGGAACCTGGATTAATGCAGGCCTTCAATGGCGTGGTGTTGATTAGCTTTGGCTAAGGACCATGTTATAATAGTTTCGGACTGATGGACCCAAGGCCCAGCTTTCAGTGTAAATAGTAAATCAGAGTACATAGCCTTTTTAATGCTATCTATTAAAAAAATTTAAGGGTTTTATGTTCATTTCAATGAGATTTGGGGAGAAGCTCTTGAAAAGAACATGAAAGTTATTTGCAACTTTTGTCTTCTTGGGCAAGAGTTTTTAAAAATAAGACAGGGGAGTGATAAGGTCCTGTTAATGTAGATAGTAACCTGTATTGGCATGAATGGTCTCCAGGGTCTCAACATTATACAGATATCTTGTTGTTCAAGCCTTTCTGCCTGTGAGATAATTATTAGTCTCCCTTGAAAGTCCAATGGGGAAATGGGTGGTGAATTATAAAACAGTGCTACTTAAAGTGTAGTCCACAAGTATTGATCCAGATACTGTTATTAATTATATATATATGTATAGAAATTGATAGTTTTTAGAAAGTTGGTAGCAATTTAACAATGCAATTTTATGTCTGTTTAATAAAAATTGGAAGCTTATATTTTGAATATCTTTTCATTCTATTTTTCTAGTAATTCTTTTTTATTGTATTTTACAAATATGTTGGTCTGTGATGGATTGGTCCTTTACCATAGATCACTTAAGAAGCACTGTTCTCCCTGACATAAGCTTTATGAAAGGTATCCATGTAAGAAAAACATTGTACTCCCTTAATATTTTGAAATTCAAAAAAAAAAAACACTGTTTTAAATTGTTCCTGCTTACTTACAGAGTTCATATACTCTTTTTTGATGTAATGCTTTTAGAATCCTTAAGGACATGAATTGATCTGGGTTTTGTTTAGAAGATTAAATGAGATAATATATGGAAAAGCACCATCCACAGGGCCCGGCACTGAAGTAGACTGAATCTAAATCTTGTTTAATCAGAGACATATTCCACACGCTATTCTTCAGTAAGATGGGGACAAGAACTTGCACCAGCTCCCTCCAATCTAAATTGATATTTACAATTATAGCCCCACTGAACCGCTGCCCCTCTTGTGCTTGGTCATTGGTTTCATCTTATCCCAGGGTTAGATTATAAGGATAGCACATAAAGTACATGTGTGATGTATGAGACTCTGCTGAATCTCCTTGAAATCTAGGGCAAACTGCAATGGGGAAAGAATCTACCCAGGTTCCAGTCCTGCTCAGCAGCCAGATGATCTTGGACAAATCTCTTCCTTTTCTGCAATTTTTTCCCCATCATCTATAAAATGAAGCCAAGGCAGAACCTACTAAAGCTGAACATCAGTCGTACCTTATGATCGACAATTTCAATTCTAGGTTGACCCAGCAAAAATGAGTACATATATGCATGCAGTTACATGCTGTAGAAAGTTCAGAGCAGCACCATTCAAATGCCTATTAACAGTTGCATTGATAAATAAATTGATAGTCCAGTGAGGATGAATAATTTGCAACTACAATTAGGACTGTATCTCACAATATAATGTTGAGTGTGAAAAAAAACAGACATGAAAGAGCACAAACCATATCATTCTATTCATATAACATTTAAAAAATGGGCAAAACCACCCTGTGATGTTAGGAGTCAGGACAGCGATTAGTCTTGGGAGGGGTAGTGACTACAATGGGGTGAGGGGTCAGGGAATGAGGGAGGCCACTGCAGCTGGTAATGTTCTGTTTCTTGATCTGGGTACTGGTTACATGGATATATTCACTTTGAAAATTAATACACTTAATAATTTGAGTAAATTTTCTGTATGTATATTGTATTTCTATTAAAATGTACAAGCTTATCACAACAACGATTAATTTTTTTAAATGAAGCCATGGGACTACATGCTCTATGAGGTCCCTTTTATCTCTGTGTTCTCCTTCTCCAACTCCCTGGGGGGCTCATGTCACTTAAAACTCCACAGGTCCTAAACTAGGCCAGTTCTGTCCCCAGCCCTTTCCTTAGGAGATCACATTTCTAGCTAACCTTGTGCTGCCTGCAGCCACTCAACGGTTTTCCCATCTGGGTCCTGTCATCTTCCCTCAATAATTCCAATAGTCAGGGCTTTGTGATTGACAAGGCAGGATCATGTAGTGGTGAAGGATACAGGTTCAAATCTCCACTCTGCAGCCAAATATCTGCATAATCTTGTGCAAGAAGTTAAATTCTCTGTGCCTCAGTTTTCTATCCATAAAACGTGTCCTTGCCTCATAAGGTTGTTGAGAGGAGCAACAGAGCATAAACAAACAATTCAGTTCAGTGTCTGGCAGAGAATAAGTTCAATAAATATTGGTTATTAGTATCTCGTTTGAGACTCATGAATGATGTTATCGTCACCTCCATTTTATGGACAAGCAATTTGAAACTCAGAGAATTTAAAGTACTTGCTACAGATCACATCGTACCCAATAACTAAGAGATTAATACTATGGCCCTTAGGATCTGTTCTCCCAAATATCCATAGTATCCACAATTTTTAACTGAGATGATTGTCCTTCAGAATAGAGACTATATTTCCAGGTAGGTGTGGTCACATGACTAAATTCTGACCAATAAGATGTAAGCATAAGTGTTGTATGGCCACTTCCAGGAACCATCCTAAAAAGACAGATGGGAAATGGATATTCAGTTTCTTGTATTGTCACACTACGTAATCCAGGCCAGTCCTCCCACTGGAAATGAATGGAAAAGTTGGAGAAAATGTAAAAAAAATCTGCCTGAGAGCACTGGGAAGTAAACAAAACTTTCAGGACCAAGATCTTAGAAAAAGAAAA